GGCTGAATAGATCTAAATAGGGGCCTATATGTTCTGCCTGTAAAAGGCTTTGTAATTCCTTCAGTCTTGTGTCCTGCCAGAATACACAGCCGGGTAGGTCGCACACTAATTTCCCCAACAGCAGTGCAGCTTCCTGAGTCAGCCTGCTAAATGGACAATAAATCACCAATATTATCTCTGTCCAATAAATAGGAGGTAATCCAGAGAGGAATTCAACTGTGTATTTACCCGCTTAATATGTGATCATGGTATCATTATACTCTGCTGTCCTAGCCATTCTTTAATCAGAATTAGAAGTAATACTGATATTTAAGTTCCAGGTAGAAGAGGAGATCTAATACTAAATAATGTACATATAAATAAGACCGGTGAACATAACTAAAGATCTAAAAATACCCTATATTTGGTAAAGTGACATATTAGCTACATATTTTAAATGATTTACCTCTTACTAACCTATTACTGTGAGTGAATACAGTCATCATAACTATCAAACAACTTCAGTAGAAAACTGCCACTCAAAGCTTGAGAAAATTCAGCTAAACCAATGTCCTTCCCTCTGTGTCATAAACGCCTCAAGCATTTTTAATGTCTGTTGGTGTTGGCAGACATTCCCACGCTGCTTGTCTTCATGTGACCATTCCAACCCAATGTAACTTATTGAGTAATGCAATCCAAAGGAGTAATGAAGTGCAAAATGCAGTGTTGCAGCCAAGTAGATTTAACTTGTGGAATCATATTGGTGATATCAGTTCACTTTTTATATTATCAATCTTCACATTGAAAGCTAGTATCCTGGTGATAATACAAAGTGCTCCAAAGAACAATAAGCACGTCTATGAAAAGACAAGGGGAACACTGCCTTCTATATGACTAACTTCACACATGCATACAGGGCATAGACTGAACACAAAACAATTAAAGCAAAAAAAAAAAACACACAAAACAAGTTATTCTACTTTTCTGTACAATATACACTGGAAGAGTGCTGGTCATGTAAAAAAAGAGTGGTTGAAGCTCTCCCTTACAAAGTACAATATTCAATGGTAAGAAAAGGTTCCCATGCTTAGAAGTCCACGTTCTCATAGCTACTTGGGGCTGTGGCCCATGCCGTGTAAGAGGCAAGAGACGTGCCAAGTCATGCTCAGGTTCGAGAGCTGTTGCAACTTTTTAGGTTGGCTAGAGGTTTCTCCTTTAAGGTGAAGTTTATATGCTTGAGTTCTGAAGATGCAGTGATCCAGTGAGATTCAGAAGTGCAGTGTCAAAAGGTAGTTAAACACCAAACACAGCCGTCAAGACTGCCATCGTTGGAGAGGAATAAATCTGGAAGGTACTTTACAAGATTCTCAAACCCCCGATGTAATTTGCTGTCCATTGAATTGCCACTTACTAGATAACATGTCCTAAAGTATTATGACCTGGAGTTGAACTCCTTCTGACCTGCATTTGATCTACTTAAAGCAGGTTTCACATTATCATACACTTGTATAGCAATGTAAAATCCACTTGAAGTTAAAGTTAAAAGTCCCTTTCTCCCTCCACAGAGCACCAGTGCACCCCATCTCCACTGAGTAGCATTGTTTCTCCTCTACCCCACAGAGTTCTAAGACTCCCCTCCCCCCCCCACAGGAGGAACCAATCTCCCCTCTCACCCACTGAACACCAGTGCCACTGGGGCATTTTTTTTTCTCCCATTGACCAAGGACGACAAACATCATCTTCCTCCCACTGACACCAAACATAGTCCTGCTCCTACTGTGTAGCTACGGTATGTACACAGTGCAGTACTAAATACAATAGGACTGGCCCAATTATTATCTTTGGATGATCCTGTTGGTATATTTAAAATATAGCCATATTCCCCCCCAATATCTTTCTATCTAATGAAATTAACAAAATCTAAATTGTAAAACCTGAGTTATCCTCAGCCCAATCATTTCATCCTAATTCATTCCATTAACATGAACCATGCAATGCAGAAATGTTGGCTATTGTAACTAGCAATATAGAACTCATAAATTAAAAAGGAAATCTTCCATCCCAGCTATAGGACATCTGCAAAGGTACAGTGTTGTACAGTATTAGTTCATGACTCACTGCAGAGCTAGATGAACATGCCTGCTGCAATTCCTATGTATAAATGTTAACTCTTTGTGTACAAAAACTCTTAATGTACAAAAAGAGTTCAGAAAAAACACACTAAGTCATTTTTCTAGACACTGAAAACATGCGAAAATCAAATGAATGCATGAACAGCTGAACAAGTTATGAACCACAAAATATTTCAGTCCTATAATTTTACATAACCTTAAAGATCAAGTGGGACTTTAGTCAAACAATTTAATACATGGATAAAATACATACTATACATATATATATATATA